TATATCATTTTAATAACTATTAATAATTAATCTGTCATAATTTAACTCAATACTTTTCTTATTTTTCTGAAAATAAAGGGAAAAATGCTAATTTAGAAAATAGAATCTCATAAATCATTCTCGATAACATTTTTTTTGGAAGTGGGAAGAATGTGCCAAACACGGCCCAATATAGTCGGTTACAAAATCCGGACTTTCCGGCAATTAGACGATTTATTTCCTACCGCAATTATTGCGTTTGATTCCAGAATGCCCACCCGCTCTTTCCTTCTCTAGTGAGGCGTGGGTAGTTACGTCATTTCAAAGTTTACCCTAATTCTCCTTGGGTGCCAGTATAAAAGGATCTCTTCATCTAATTCAGATCTGGTTTTAGGAAGCAAAGATTTCAATGGTTTTCCCCAATCTAATCAACAGTGATGATCTCCTTGAACCATGTAAGTCTTCATCCAAACATTTATCCTTGTGTATGATTTTTCTCTTTCAACAAGAAAATATTATCTTTCAATTTCTTCATCCATACACACATATTCTTTGAATTCAATACAAGTAAATTTGATCAAACACATAACTTGTGTTTGTGATCAGTTCTATAGAAGATGCTAACCATCCAGTAATTAATTGTGGAGGGTTAGCGTCTATGTGCGTCTTGGATCTGTACCAAGACGCTTTACAAGGATAATCAAGTTGTAGATCCATCTGAAATCAACTATTGTAAATAGTGTTTGAATTTGTTTTCATAAAATTATATGTGTGTATATATAATTATTCTTATAAACTCTTATATTGTACTCTTTTCATTTTCTAAAATACTTCATCTTTCATTTTTTTCTTGAGTAAATTCTATAATTGGTCCTTTATAACAGGGAGTTTCCATATTTGGTCCTCTATTATCAAATATTACCCCGTAGTCCTTTTTTAAGGGTACCTTTCCACAAATAGTCCTTTTTTTGATCTTCTACCGTGTTGGTGTTAATTTAAATGCTAAAAGTATAATTTGACGTAAACGTTATGTCTAGTGACGTGTTCTGATATTGGTTAAACGGATAACACAAAAATAATGATTATGATTGTGGGCTTGGATTCTGACGAAAGATCACATTTGTAGACTATAGTTGTCGTAAAAAGTAACTGTAATTCACAAACGACGCAAACGGAACAACCTTTGGAATTGTGTATGACAAAAAAGATATATTATCATTGTGAAATTACACTTTTAGCCCTCAAATTAACACCAACATGATAGAAGATCAAAAAAAGGACTATTTGTGGAAAGATACCTATAAAAGAAGGACCATTTGGGTAATATTTGATAATAGAAGACTAAATAGGGAAACCTCTCTGTTATAAAGGACTAATTATAGAATTTACACTTTTTTCTTTCTACAAAGCACTTCACTTTTTATTAAAAAATCATTTTTATCTTAATTTTTTTATCCTATCCAATCATATCTTATTTTTATCCATCACATCTGCTTTTACTCATCATATCAAAAATTAATTGAAAAGTCAACTATAAATATATACTTCTTATTTCATCAATAAGTCAAAATAATAACTTTTTTAGAAACAGAGGGATTAGAACTTTTGATATAATTTTGAAATCTATAATTTTTATTTTTTCTATACTAATTAGTAAATAAAATTATTTTAAAAATCATGAGATTTTGAGCATTTGATTGAAGAATATACTCCCTCTATTTCCTAAAACAGTTCTTGTTTTGACTTTGGAGAGATTTATTTTCATAGTTTGACCTTCTAATTATACTCTTATTATCAAAGAAAAAAAGAAAGAGAAATTATTTAAATGACTTATTATATCAATGCAAATTGAATGGAGTATATTGTAAAAAACTTAATATAGATATATTAGCCATTTTTTACAAAATGGAAGTGTTTTTGTGAAAACAAAAAGAATGAAAGATGAATTATTTTAAGGAACGGAGGGAGTAATTCATTTGAGACGTAGGTAATATAAATGAAATTTTTATTGTATGTTTTATGATGAATATTTGTTCTAAGATGGAAATTTTATAATATAGATTTCTTATATTGGATTATCTTTTATTTGCACTTATTCTTGAGTGGATCTAGGCTTGTTTGGAAATAGGATTTTCGATTATCGTTAATGTTTTAAACAAAATTTTAATAATGAAAATAATGTTTGGAAATGGTAAAAATAATTGCTGCCATTTAGCCTTTTTAAATTGTTAATTCTAACTTCTAACACCATTACCAAACAAGTTCTTAATGTGTAATAATTGGGGGGAAAGGCCTCCAACTACTTTTGTTGTTTGAGGTAAAAAAGGTTTAGGACTCTAACTAAAAACATTAGGGACTCCAATTGAAAGTATTAGGGTCCTATTAAGTTAATTTTTCCCCTACTTTATGATGTAGTTTGTAGATTATATTCTCCTTCACAATAAATTTTAAATAGATCTCCTTAAATAAGAGTAAAATTTAACTAAAATATCAAAATGAGAGTACGTTGGTAGTGTCATGTCTCCGAAATGGCATTGCAAATTGAAAAATAAAAGGAAAAAAAGTTGAACTCGTGACTTTTGCTTGGAAGAGTCACCTTGATGTCATTGAAGTACAAGTTTTTTCGCAAATTAACAATGCATCAAAATCAAATAAATTAAATAATCAAAAGTACATTTTTTATTTTTTTTATTTTAAAAACCAAATACTTTTAAACTTTACAATTAAAAATAAAGACAAATTGGACTTGGGTTAATCTTAATAAGATTACTCAGTCTCAAAAAGTTAATATGCTTTTTAAGATGAGACAAGTCCGATTGATTGTGAAAAAAGACTTATTAATTTCTTCGTAAATAACATCAGTCTTTCTAAGGGATTGTTTCGTTGTGATCATTTTGGTTCTTTTGATCATCCCTAATTCCAATTTTTATAATTTTCTAATATTTTTTAAGTTGCTTTCAATTTTTCCAAGTCTTTTTAATTATTAAAATTTTCTTTTAGTTTCTTTCTACTTTTTTTTTAGTTTTATCCAACATCCACTCTGCTTTTTTGACAGGATAAAGTGTCTTACTACCAACCCTTATGTGTTGTTTTAGAAACAGGTTAATTAATCTTTTTTAGGGTCATTGTCTTTGATCTTTATTTCAAGCAAAGATGTGAATCCATCATCACAGAAAAATCAGAACCTTAACCCATCTTGGGGTGTTGGAGATCTAGGGTTTGGCAGTGTGCTGTGTGGATTTTGGAAGTATGCAAATCCATCATCAGAAAAGAAACTAAAACCATAGCTTATCTTAGATTGTTAAAGATCTAGGGTTTGGCGGTTTGCAGTATGGATTGCAAAATCAAGATATAGATTGCGAATAACAACTGAATGACATTAAAAGGAAAAGGGCTAATATTTTGAAGAGTCCAATACTGAATACCTAAGAAATATTTCACGATAGAGGGAGTGTAATGTATATTATTAATCCAAACTCTAATTTCATTCTCTTCCATGCACCTTCCTATTAGCCCTTCCATTTCAACCCACTTCATTCTCTTCCCACCGCTCCATCTTAAACACCTTCCATAGCTAATGCCACCACTAGCCATCACCACCATCGTCAGGGTTAAGACTGACTTTGTCTCTTCCGACATGGCCTTCAAGTGTATATTCTTGTCGTTCGTCGCACAGCGGTAGGTTGCACTAGCTGTAGGTTGCACTAGTTAGCCTGATTGATGGGTTCATGGGCTTTTGTCAAACTAGTACAAATGAAGCAGAATTCCACTCGGGTCGGGCCGCGAAGAGATTTTTGGATCCTAGATGGTTTCTTCTTTTATCTTTTGTTTTTAAAAAAATTCTTCACTATCGACAACCATCACTGCAAAGACATTGAACGATGCTGATATATTTCTTTTTCTTCATGGATACATGAACATTGAACATCGTGAACAATGTCTATCAATGGACAATGAGTGATACTAAGTCGGTGGGTTGTGATTTTTCTCCAGTGTGCGATGGATTGATGGACATTAAAGAGAAGACATTGCAGTGAATATTATTGGAGGTGACAAAAGATATTAAAATTATGAGGACATTAAAATTGCAGTAGGCATTAATGGAGCGGAGTGTGATTGGCGGCATTGACTGTGGATTGTGATGGTCGGTGGTGTGTTATCACCATACACCTCCCTCTATATTTAATTATAGGTTGCGTTCTGTTTGCCTGATGTGATCTGATTTTATTTGAGGATCTGATTCGATTTCAGTTATATTGAAAGCAGTTTCCGATCTGGTCAGGTGTGATATGATTTTCACATTACTATCTCCGTTCTAAAGTATTTGTCCAGTTTTGACTTTTTTCAATTAATTGTTTTCAAATTTTGACTTTTAATTAAATAAAATATATATTGTATATTAATTAGATAAAATAATATTTTAAAAATATTTTATTTAATATATCTAATAAAACTATTTTACATCTAATATAAGTTTTATTTAATTTGGGGTCAAATTTTACCAATTTTGACCAAAAAAAGTCAAAGTGGACAAATATTTCGAGACAGAGAGAGTAATAAGTAGTAAGCTGAAAAAATAAGTTAAACGGAACGGACCCTAAAGCCTAATATGAATCCGCTCAAGCCTGACTTATATCCACCTCTTGTGTAAATTTTTATACAAAAGCTTAAACAAAATTTAATATAAAATTTTAAACACAAGCACACACCCAAAAAATTCATAATCATTTTTTGTAATTAACTAATAACCAAAGTTCACCTCACTGTACAAACACTTTGTGTAAGGGCGTATTTAACTGACCAATTGAGTAAGATTTAAAAACAAAACTGTTGCGGTTTTAAAACCAAAAAAAAACCGACGATGTCCCGGTCCTTATTTGAATTAGTTCTTTTTTGTGTTAAAGGCAATGCCCGGGCTCATTATCTGAATTGGTTTTTTTTTGTGTTAAACTAACTACTAGGGCTTCACTTCTGACATATTTTAGGGACATAAGAACAACTCTCTATCCCATACTTGGAGGTTATGTCTATAGCTTTGATTTTTAGGTTGTTCTCTTTGGAGTGGTGGCTCAATGGCAAGAGGAGTATGTATATGACATGTGAAGAACACATCAACACAAATGGGTGTAAGAAATCTCTTCAATTTTGTTTTTCAAAACACTACGCATTCATCCTAAAATTAAGTTCCCGCACCGAGTTTCATGGAATTCAACATTACAACGAATATTCAACTCTTCTAAACTTTGAACACTAGTGTATAAAAAATATGTTCCATTACAAAAGAACGGGTCCAATATGACCTTATTACAGTTTAGCTTCTTTTCTATAGATCCGAGTGAGGGTTTCCACTATCAGTATTTCAAACAAAAAAACTAGGCCTCACTGTAGAAGAGAGTGTTTTTCTTCAAAATAAATAAATAAATACTACTGTTATGACTGATCACAGATTGCTTGGAAAGATGTCGAGGTTTTCCAAATCTTGAACTGCTTGGTTGATGGCGTAAAGAACCATTTTCTTTATCTGTTAAATCAGCAGATCAAAATGAAATTATTTCAAAAAGTGTCCTTTTTTTCTTTAGAAAAAGAAGGATTGCAGAAGAAAGACAGGTAGGGGGTACCTCAAGCTTGTCTTCCCTGCTTTTGTGGTTATTTGGCAGCTTCCTGAATTCTTCTGTGAGCCGGAAGCACTCTTGGATGTTTTCTGGAGAAATGAAGTCTGCTGCGACTTTCGTACACGACTGAGTGCGGGTCCCATATTACAGTGTCATCAATCAATCAGGTGCACAACACAGTGAATAAAAAGTGAGGAGAACTTGAGAGAGTGTTAGGCTTACCTTGAGATTTCTGACTTGATGAGGACAGCCTGCAGGAATGAACACGGCCTCTCCGACCTTCTGCTCAAATGTCCATGGCTCTATTCCTGTTTTGATGATCATTAGTTTGAACTTCATGGAAATGAATATTTTTTTCCCAACCTTCAAAATGATGAGATATGAACACTAACCATATTCTTCCTTGAGTTTTCTCTTGTGCTCGAATGTTAAATAGAAGCATTGGTCATGAATAGGGTGAAAGACCTGTTTGGTGCCAAGAAAAGGAAGGAATCAGAAAATGTTGATCATGGGGAGGAAGAAGAAGAAGATTTGACGAGATCGAGTTTTACCTTTTCAACAGGACAACAGTAAGTGTGTCGAAATTCTCTCGAGTGCTTTACAAGATACTCATTCAGCTTAGGTACATCCTCTCTTCTAAATATATCCCAAAGTGCACTTCCACTCCCATCTCCAAACCCCTCAAATGAAGATCTTTGGTGATCATCATGATCCAAAACATGATCTGCTCCTACAACATGTTCCCTCTCATTTTGAGCTCTGTGTTTTTCCTTCAATCTCTCAATCGCAAACTTTTGTTCTTTGCTTAAGGGTACTTCTGCCGTGTGCGTCAATATATTTATCTGAAATCATTCGCATTTTTTCAGAAAAGATGGCAGCAAAACAAAACAAAAATACCCACAAATAATAGAGAGTGGCCATACTGCATCAGACATGTCACAATGAAGCTTTGTCACGGAGTCTCCTCTTCCGAGTTCTTCTGAAACACCATATGCAATGTAGGTCTTAGGACCTAAATCAGGTTTAATGATCCCAAGTGGCAACTTGACACCAACATTAAGGATTCCGTCTCTTGGGTCGGTATACTCTTGGAATGGGAGCGCACTGATAAACTCATCGCAATGTCGCGGTAATAGATCCTCAAACTTGTCAGATGGTGGCCAGTCTTTGAGCTTCAGCATCTCTGGCCAGAAATTCCCATATGTTCTTCCTTCTGTGTATCCTTTGAAAAATTTGCGCGTATTGATTTGGACCTGCAATTGGAATTTACAAAAAAATGATTTTAAGCACATGGTGAAAATTATAAGGATGTAGAAACAGAGATTTTTTTTAAAAAAATCTTTTCGGTAAATTAAGCCGTTTAACTTTTGTCATAACAACTATAAATAATTTTTTCAAGTTTGTCCCTCACTTTTTGGTTTTGGGATTTTACTTCCTTAAGTGGCTTATAATTAATTCTAGAGATGGAAAATCGACTTTTGAAGCCGATCATCACAGCGTCAAAAATTTGTCTAGTAGGTTTTGTTTGAGATTTTATTTATAAATAATACTCCCTCTGTCCAATTTTAAATTGCATTTTTTTGACTTTGGTGCATATTTAAGGAAGAGAAAAAATAGAGTTGACTTTTGAAATTGTCATTACATGACGATGATTGAGAAGACAGGGTGGAGAAAAGTGACTTATTTTATTTTAGAGGTAATTTAATAATTTTACTCTTAAAAGTTTTAAAAGTTTACGATAACAAGAAATTTGGGATAAGGAAAAAAAAACAGACAATTTAAAATGAAACAGAGGGAATAATAAAATATGAAATATTACTCCCTTCGTCCGGATTTTAAGTTCCCAGTCTATGCTTTTTTTCGTCCGGAAATAAAGTTCCCAGTCTACGTTTTCATACCCAATCTTCCTAAATTACCCCTCCCTCCTCATCCTATCTCCTCCTTTCTTGTTTTTATTTTCTTCTTTCTCTTGGCCAGAACCCAGATCCACAGCCCAGGTAACCTCCTCTCTCTCTCTCTCTCTCTCTCCTCTCACCATTCTTTTTCTTCTCGTTATCTTCCTCCTCTTCCTTCCTTCTCCTTCTTCCAATCTTTCTTTTCTCTTCCTCTCCCCCTTCATTTTCTTCTCCTCGTTATCTTCCTCCTCTTCCTCCTTCTTCCCTTTCTTTTCTGGCTAGATCTAGCCTTCATCTCCCCCTCTCTCTCTTCCCCTATTCTTTTTCTTCTTTTTGTCATTTTCTTCTGCTAGATCTCGTTTGTTTTTTCAGATCTAAAAAATCTGAAAATCCATTTATGCGGGGTTGCCGGCGATGGTGTCGGCGGCGATGGTGAGCTGACGGTGATGATAGGCTGGGTGCGGCAGTGGGGCTGGTGGTAGTGGGAGTTGGGGCGGCAATGGAGTTGGAGCAATTACAGGCATTCAAGTCAGGGATAGGTGGTGACTGTGGGGGTGCGGCGAGTGGAGGTGACGGTGGTGGTGTGGGTTGGGTCGATGGGGCGATTGGGAGGTGGCGGTGGTTATGTGGGCTTAGAATGAGGGAAGGGCAGTGTTGAGATAACAAGGAAGGGGAAGGGGAAGGGGATAAGGGTATTTTAGAGATTTTCTTCCCAAAGTCAACACCCAATAAAAATGACCAAAAGTTAAAATGGGTACTTAAAATCCAGACGGAAAGAGTACATTTATAGAGAAATTTAACATACTTTAATATTATAAACATTAAAAATTAAAAAGTGCTTTAGAACTTAAAAATTGAACACTTCTCATTTTTTTTCCTCGGATCATGGCGTGGGTAGTGCTGATTTGTTGTGGATTTTTTCGCTTCCTCTTCGACATCTCTGACATATCCTCTTTCATGAGTGTCCTGAGGTGGTTGATATTAACTGCCATGCTTGTTCTTCGTGGAAGTACACATTTTGTCTAACGTTGGGTTTGGTAGGTGTAGTGGCCAAGGCCTTTGCCTTCTTTGTTGCCTCGTTCGTATCAAACAGCTCTGATTGCTAGATTCATCGCCAACAGCGGTGAAGTCATTTCCCGATGTGTTGAGGTCGATGGACTATTTGCTTTTGCTTGTTGAGTATGAACTAGTTTCAGAGAGTTTATTTTACTTCGACGCCGATTCCTCGGCATATCAATGCTGAGTTTGGGACTTTCTCAAGAAGTTTCCAAACATTCAGAAATTGGAATTTCTTTTTTTCCATTTTGAAAAAAAAAGGCCCATCGCCTTCGAGAGAATGTCATCGATGTTGGAACCACTGGGACATGTCTTCAGGACGTTGTATGCAATGGACGTTGGCAAACATGTCACTAAATTGTTGGACTTCCAGGTGCACACATCCCTAGTGTTTTTGAAGCATCTCGTTGTCACGTTTGGGCGAACAATTGGTCTCCCGGCATTGTTCTTTACAATAACATGCTCTCAAAACATTTTGAATTTTTGGAAGTTTCCAATGATGGCATCCTCCATCACGTCGACGTAAAACTTCACCAATAATAGAATTTTCATCGCGGTATACTTCTTTGGCTCGTCATTCATTTTGTCCTTCCCTTTATGCTTGGCCCTCAGTGATGGGCTCCAACTCAAAAATGTCGTAGTCCTCCGTATTAGCGACAGTCTTTAGGGGCTATTGTTGGACCTCAAGAACGGAGCAAAGTTATCATCCATATGCGTCCCCTGCACATTAGTGTGAAAATTAGTAGAGTTGGTGGCATATCTGAGCACCTCATCAATGTCGGATCGCAAGGAGAAGCTATTGCCGCCGAGATTCATTGTTTGTGAGTGAGATGATAGTGAGATGAGAGTAGATAAATTAGAGTTGGAGATGTGTTAAATTTATAGTGTTAAAAATTTAAAAAAATTGAAATAAAAACAAAAGGCACAACGGATGTTTGTATTGGACACCGTCGCAACCAATCCTAGAGTTTGGCACACGCCACAGCACTGGATGCTTCCCACGGCCCGCCTCACCAAACCCCCATTATAAATGCTCTTAAGTCCCTAGATTAATACATCATCCATTCAAATTTAACTTATCTATTTCTATTTAAAATGTGTGACTAAAGCTATTTTCAATATATTGTATTTGAGAATTGGATTGAAAATTTGAAAACAAATTTAAATATTAAATTAAAAAATTATAAAAAAAAACTCTACGAAATAAGAAGAAACATAACTATAATATTTTGTTAAATAAGTAACGAAAATAAAAAAAATAAAATAAATGATGTTTGTTCTTGTGAATAGCACACAGACAACTTAACTTGGGTCAAAAGGAGCAATTATTCCACTGTAAACTCCTAGTTTTCAAGTCAAGATGAAGATGATGAATGAAATTATACTTTGGGAGTATTTCACTATGTTGATGTTTATTGATTTATTACTTGCAAGTAATTTTTAACTTATAAGTTAAATATTCATTTCTTTTGAATTGAGTGCTAAGTAGCTTATAAGTTAGCTGGCTTATAAATTAAAAATAACTTATTAGCAACTTTGAGTAGGATTTAATCACAAAAAAGACCAACTTTATGATTATCTCGCTATTGTCACTGTTTTTTCCTTAAGTACTTGATTATTTCTCCGCCTCATAAAAAGAATTCTACTTTTGACTTGGCACATAATTAAAAAAAAAAAGTGGGATAGAAAGTGATACAAAGGAGAAAGAAATTATAGGGACCATAAGTTTATTTTGAAATGTGGAAAATATAATTTTTTTAGGATAGACAAAAAAAGAAGTAAAATCTTATTATGAGGCGGTCAGAGTAAAATTTTTTACATGCTTTTATCATTTTTGGGATCCTGTATTTGCCTCGTCGAGTGACCAGAATGTCTATGAGGATTGTTGTGATTTCAAATCTCTAACTACAAATGAATGATTAGATACACAATGTGTAATCCTCATTTTTGTAAGATTGTAATAAACTGTTGGATGGTTTTGATGCTAAATTACATGGAAATACGTCTTTTAAGATGATGCTCTAATACGAAAATAAAAAAAAAATCTTGAGCGCTGGAAGATGGGCCTCGCTAGAGTTTTTGATAGTTTGCCATAGAGACATGACAACAACACATCGACCATTCATCCATCAACCACCTCACCTCGTTGTTCAAGCTTTTGAAATGCTAATAATTGTATGTGTGGTATCTCCACGATCAACCTTTGGAGCAACGTGCAATTCTATGATGGCTTTTTACTCTGCAATGGCCCTTGTAGAATTTCCCACACTATTAGAAACATCTCGCTCCACCTCGACATTGCACGATGTGATGGGATTACATGTGGACAACTAGCGTGTGAGGCAACTTAGAGCATGTGATAGTCATTGCAATAAGGCTTATGGTATCTACAAGTTCGAGATCTTGTTGCATAGGAGAGCTCTATAAATCCCTTATAGTTGCCAAAGACGTCGGGATCTACTATAGAGTAAACCCAAATGCTTATTGTGACGCATTGGGCTTGACCTTGGGATCCCATGCTAACTCTTGCATAGTTGAGGACAACTTCAAGGATCTTATTTGTTTTTCTCAAATATCCTTTATCCTTTTTATGTTTATTTTGCTCTGAGAATAAATTCTCATGCAAAACAAAAAAACTCGGTACTAGAGAAAATACGATGAGACTCTGCATCATATTATCGAAGAAAGTGACTTCATACCCTCTTGCAATGTTAGCGGGGCTCTTTGATTGCCTCGAGCACAGAAGCATTCTTGGGTTTTCCTTTCGCCTAAGCAGAGTGGTGACAAAGATCATCTAAACTGCTTCCCACATTTTTTCCTCATATCTAAAAGATCTAAGGGAGAATATCACTTAAGAGTATAACAACTACTCCTTTGAAAACATCATTTGATATAAAATAAATCCACATGAACATGGCACCCATTTTTAGATGCAAAATATATATGAAATATGTGTAGATATATAGTAATAATATGTGTGGATTATAATGGACAAAAGTTTTTATGTGTAAACAAAATCAATAAAAACAATGGATCTTTTTAAGTAGTACCATACCTATGAGAGTGTTATACTTCATGTGTACCCAAAACCAGAGTCCCAACATGACTTCACACGAATCAAGACAAATTTAAAGTGGTAATGAATTTCAACTTTTCCCCCTTATGTAACCTTGTTGTGATTTGGTTGGAATAAGAGGGGTGGTGTAATATGGGTGGGAAAAAATGAGGGTGAGTGTGCAAAGTGATTAGAAAAGATAGGGGATGATGGTTGAAAAAAGAATGTAAACATGACCGAAAAAGGTAGGATGTCAATTTTCAAACGGATCACCATATGCGCCCAGAATAATCCCATGACATTGAGGTCCAATACAAGAACAACGTCTTGATTTATACAAGTGCATGAGCTTGACTTACATAGCCATTAATGGAGCTTGAAGCTCAAGAGAGAAAGAAGAGGGATAGTGAAGTAGAGTAGAGAAGTTTGGCGACCTTGTGTATGGAAGGAGTGAGCCTCCTTATAATAAGGGAGAGAAGCAATAATGTCTAGGATGAAGCACGACCATGATGTCATGGAGTGGGTGGGGGTAATACTATGTTGTGAGATCCAATGTTGGGTTAATGATTGATTTTGTTTCTCAGAAAAAAGGGATCAACCCATCTTAAAGTACCCCAATTCTTGTTTAGACAATTGTCTAGGAGGTAAATTTAATTTTAATCTTAGCCTAATCAATAGAAAGTGAGATTTGTAAAAAAACCTATGTCATTGTCACGAGATCAACCCGGGCAGTACCCCCTTTTGCACTTCCTCTTGAGTTGCTATCCTGCATTTTTTCCTTTCACAAATATCATACGAATGTGTACTTTGGACACACCTCTATGAATGTACTCACTTCATAGACTGGTGATATTCAACATAGACACTCGTATAGAATCCGAATCACATAGCAGAGGTAGTATTTAAATTTGATGCGTTAGATGTGTTTTAGAAATTTGTCAACTAGCTAATTCACAAAAAATCTTACCGAACATTTTTTAAAGAAACACCTAACACAAATAGCAAGTAGTTGCCAAACAAAGCCACTATACGTCTATACCTCGACCAAATCACCTAAAGGCTATTTATATGAAGGTTACAAAAAGGGTATTGTGCTGGTCTGAAAAAGTAGGCACAATGTTATGAATATATTTTTATTCTAGCAACATAAAGCTAAGCAAAGGTAGAATAAGAGGGTGTTTTGTCTGTGTTAGTGCTTATTTTGGATCGAGCCACACTGAGTTGGGCCGAAGTGCTTGCCTTCGGGCACACTGTTTTATATGACCTGTGGCTGCAGGCAGGGCCTCCTAACAGCTCATCTAGATTTGGGTTTGGCCAGTATTCCAAGAAAAAATGGTGGGCGTTGCCCTTGCCCTCACCCCCACATGCAGACAACATATGCAAACAGTGATGATTTATCTATGAAATAAGACAGTCTATAAAAATGGATGCAGTGGGGCAATAACAATTCCATGCATGCATGCAGAGTGCACTTTTGCTTGAAATTTTAAAAGAAACTTTACCTCACACCCAGCCAAGCAGTCCACGGCTTTGACTTCTGACATATTTGAGCCAACGGATGTCCTTGGATTTGTGTTCTCGCATAAGGCACGCCACATAACCATAGGTTCCCAGCTAAGTCCAGCCGTGTGGTCAAGAACGTCCCTTACAATTACTGGTTCACCCCTACCCCAATGGCTCCTAAACATGAAAAGCTCTTCCTCCTCCACAACATCCCTCCCAGTTGGGCAATACAAGCAGTTGTCTTTAGAACCCACTCTATCAGCAGCTCTGCGCATCTTCTCAGGGTTTATATTCACAGCTTCGGTTTCCCAAGTTGCAGTTGTCTGTAAACTTCTGCATTTGCTCAAAGCTCTTGTTGCTTTTTCTTCCAAAGTAGAGATCCAGCCTTTTGGAAGGAGGCGCTTGAGCTCTAAAATACAACTTCCACACCCACCCAGTTCTTGAGGAGCACAGGTGATACTGCCATCGCCCCTGACAGCCCATTTGGTCACGGGTGGATTGTTCTGATCCCATGGTGAATTGTCCACATCATCTTTGGTTTCTGGTTGGGGATCGCCGCCATGCATATATTCACATCCTTTATCTTTATATTTGAAAACTTCTCTTACTGGACACCCTGGAAACTTTCCTTTGCGTATTTCCTCACAACAACGCAGACAAAGCTCATATGAACAGCCAGGGCAACTTCGATGAAGATCCACAATTGATGTTGAACACTGATTGCTGATAAATGAAAAAAAACAAATTTTTATTTTGTTGCATTCACGTTATTATTAATTTCAGAAGATTTAAAAAAAATACTCACCAATACACTCGCTCGTCGGTGTAAAATGTTGACTGTTTGACCTCAATTAAGGATGAAGAGACACCTTGAATGACAGATTCTGTCTGTATCTCCTGAACTTGCTCAGAACGGATTTGTTCGAGAAAGGGAAGAAGTTTAACAACCAAATATTGAAGATGCTGAAGCTTTTGAAAGTCAGTGAGATCTCTTCTTGATGTCTGAATGTAGAAAGAACATATATAGTCAGAAGCCAGACAAGAGAGCACATATAGTCTGATTCAAAGAAACACTTGTTTACCTTAATGAAGCCACTAGAGTGCAAACAATTGTTGCAATTACAATTCCCACGACAAAAAGGGCACACCTCTGCAATTTCCTCCTCTGATAGTTGAGGATACCTGTTATGGTGGGGGTTAAGAGAATCCATTAGAACACATTACAAATGACGCCCCCTCCATCCCAAAAAAAGGGTCATCTATTGTTTCAGAACCTGGTTCTTTGGACACCTACACACGGTGTCATAATATGACACAGCCATTAAGAGGCCCTATAGTGCTCTGTCGGGCTTGGGATCGGGTCCTACCTCCCAGCCACGCCCTAAACACCCTCCTGCCTCTTGCTACGGTAACACTGAAGCATTTTGGCAAAGTGCATGGGGTAGGGTGGGAGCAAGGCGGGATTGGTCCCGGGCCCAACAGACCTAGGTATTATGACACCAAAACCTGGTGTCAAAGAACCGTGGTGATTTTTTCAACACTCAAGACTATAAATTTAGGAAAATATTGCTGTATAAAATTAGTTAAACCAGCACATAAACAAATAAGTATGACTATTTATTTACCAAATTAAATAATTATACCTTGGTCAAATATGAGTCCTTTATAAGGATGGTGGTAGTGTACTATTTATTTACTTCCCAAAAAAGTTTTGACAATGATAATAAGCAAACAGCCAAACAGAGAGTCGATATGGTTACAAATTTACCATTGCTTGATGCATCGAATGCAGTAAATATTCTCTTTGCACTTGCTGCAAGCAACAACAATTCTTCTATCTTTCCTTTGGCATTGATGACACATTGCTGACCTTACATTTCTTTCCTCATCAATCTGATCCAACAGGGGATTGACTTTAACAAACACAGAAGTTCTTTACATAGAATAATGAAGTCAATGGCATGCAAAATGGGATTATAACCTAGATACAAAATGGAATAATTGATTATTACCTTCTTGTCACTCTTTAATACTCTCAAACAGGGCAAGGAAGATGATGAAGATGAAGAACTAGAAGAACGTCTCCTTGAATTGTCCTTTTTTCTTGTGTCATAATCACTAGCATCATCACTTTTGTTGGCAATCACTTCAGGACTTAAACCACAACTGTTTACATGTGATGTCTTTGCTATCAATGCCAAATCTTCATCACTATCATCTTCGTCATCCCACTCGCCAACATAAAAATCATGATCAATATTATATTTTCTATAAGATGCTGCTGCACGTTTTGAGGACCTCCGGTTAGCACTCAAACTTTTTGTGTCCCGAGTGTTCTGAATTCCTCTTCTCACAATTGGAGAACTCGGGCTTTTGCTTGTTTCCCATTCCTCTTCACTTGTAATATCTAGCCCTTCCATCATTATTTCATCTTTCTTCTTTGAAGTTCTGTTGCAATCATCTGACTTTCTCTTAGTAAAATGTCTCGTTTGTCGCAAATGTGCAGCTGAGTTCGTACCTATCCCCAACTCTTTTTGCTCTTCATATCTTATTTTCTTTCTAGCAGGTTCTCTACTCACACACTGTGCCTTGGTGGGAGAAATCTGGCGCTTCCGTGACGTTATCTTATTGCAAAATTCATCATATCGGCCGTACACACGCTGTTTATTTCGTGATGAACATTCTGAACTGTACTCTTCATCACTTTCATCCTCCTCATTTAGTTCATCAGAGAAAGACGGATCTGATTGAAATCTGGGAGAATAAGAGGCATCTCTGCCAAATGAACCTTTGCAATTGTTCATCACTGTTGTTCTATTTACTGTTTTTTTAATTTTTCCCCGAGAACGTCTTTGAGGGGTTCTAACAATATTTGGCTCAGGATCATCTTCTTCAGAGTCTTGGGAATTCCATCTTCTCCTAAGCTCAGAAATGCTTGGCAATTCCAAATCATGCCTCTTCAGCCCACTAGGATGTCCTTGCTTTGTTACCAACATTGCCATCTTCATTCATCATCAAGATTCAAGAATCAAGACAAACGAAGAAAGATCAGGGCCACACACAATCCGATTATTGCTTTCCAAAGAAAATGCAAAGATAAAAGCTTTACTTTTCTCTGATCTAAAATCGGAATATAATAGCCTATAATTATTCCAACCTTGTGATCTCATAAGAGTAAACTCATATTGCACATCTGAATGGAAAATGGTTGAGATGATCACAAAGATTCAACAACTATATATCCATAAGGACTGGAACCTAGTCACAACCACCAACCCTATATAATAATATTGGGGCTGGCCTCAAAAAAAATGAGGCCCAAGGTTGAGAGATTATCAGAAACTACAAATTATCTAGATTTCCGAAGTACTTCTTTGACTCCAAACCGATAAAATAGAATCTTTAAGAGAAAAATACAGAAAAAAGAATTACTTTTTCCATCAACAACAACAAAAAAAGGCCAAATATAAAAAATCAATTACCTAGGATGCAATTAAATCTACAAAATAATTACTCCGTCATAGTCACTTCATCAAATCCTGCAATTAAGAAACTTTGACAATTTCAATCAATTACACAGAATATTACAAATACTCAAATCATCAATTCTGAAAGAAAAAAAAAAGATCACCTTTTCTATTACTAGAAATCCGCACAATTAACAATCAATATTGGTTCAAGAAAAAGAAACCTGAATCACTACTAATAATAACGAAAATATACACCATGAATTAAAATTTATCAATCTTTTTGAAAACGTCTACCAACAAATTCAGAAGCCATATATTGATCAAGAATCAGATGCAAGAATTGAGATCTGAAAACGAGAAAGAAGACCAGATCTCACATGAATGGCGAAGGCAATGGAGCGGAAGACGATCGCCGCCTTTCTTGAGGGGTAGAATTTAATTAGAGCGGTGAAATTGAGGAAACCTCTGACAGACAGAGTCAGCCGACCCACAAATCGAACGCCGCAGGTTCTGGGCGACCTCGGAATCAAATCTATACACAGTGCCGATTAAAGGAAGGAGTCAGGCAGAAGTAATGTCTGGGGAAGACGGAACCAGAGGCGGATTTGCCGAATTTGGGGTGGTTTCGTCTTCTGGCATTATAAGTAAGGTAACAACAGAAAGAGAGAAACCCATGGGCTGTATTTATCTATCTATCGAATCGTGCCTTTGTATAAACAAACAGTGGGTTAAAATTTGGTCCATCTTTGCAAACTACGGCCAATTTTTTCCCTTTTTCTGAGATTTTGCGAAGGATACGTATCGTAACTGAAGGGGCACACATTCCACGCATTCGTACTTTACAATGATAGTTTATTGTCAAAAATAAAGAGTAGATTCTTAAAAGGGAAATACTATGTGTACCCCGGTTTTGTACACCGGGTGTACACCAATAAAACGCCACCCCCCCCCCATATACCCACACTTTCCCTTCCCCCACCCCAGACTCATTCTCCTTCTCCCGATCAATTTTCACCTTCCACCCAGCTTCTTCGCCGGTCCACTCGTCTCCACGGCGTGCCTCCCCTTCATTGCCTTTCTCTCGTCTCACAACAACCCAAAACCTTCAGCCTTCATCACCGTTCATCTTCCCCATTACCAGCGTCCGCCATCTTCGGCTTCCTCCGTCTGCGACGTCGCCGCCCTCCACTTCAAATCCCCTTTGACATCGGGGCCTTTGTCTACACACTTCTGCGCTAGGTAAATCAAATCTCCATTTGGTTGTTGACATTAATCAAATCTAATTTTGTTGATTGATGGTTCTGATTTTGTTCACTGTCTGTGCAGATTTTGATTTTCCAATCTGATTTTAGCAAAAAATCGAATTTGATTTTGTTCACCGATCGGATTTTGTGCGTGCTTGGCATAGTTTCCAGGCAATTTCATTTTGTGCATAAACTAAATTTTCTAACCTGATTTTGTTTCTCAGGTAATTTGATTTGGTGCACAAACTAAATTTCCTAATCTGATTTTCATTTTTTATTAAAAGTAGAATTTTGTTAAAGTAGAACATTTGTTATTAAAACTATAATTTTGCTTATCGGAAACATTACAATTTTGCTTGTTTCTAATGTGAAAAACAAAGCTTTCCGATTAAGAACCTGTTACACAAGTCAAGTGATATACCAATTATGGACTATAAATTGATATATATGGTTTATTGGCTTGTGGCTTTTGGATTGTGGAATGCTTCAGGTTTCAAATACTTCATTTACAACTTTTTTAGTTTCTCCTAGCTTAGAGGTGTGGCTTGTGGTCAAATAGACATCAAATGTCTAGAATTGATCAAGTACAGACATTTAGTGCCTGTGTGACATAACACTTTTTACATTTTTTTTTTTTAAAATTTGGGGACAAAGTTGAAATATGTTCTTGTTGTTGGCAAGAAACACTGCTAATAAGATGAGTCCCTTTGAGTGTGTTGGTTCACAGATTTACTCTTTTTATCCAGGTTACATAAATATTATAGTTTGAAGATGAGCTTTTGACGGTGAAATCAATGAAGCACAATCAGAGCAAACATATTCGTGCAAGATGAAGATGAGCTTTTAGACCTTACTGTGACTTATTGTAACTACTTTAGATCCAAATTTGAATATTGTATAGTACTCCGTATAATTGTTAATAACAATGCCATGTAACAGTTTCTTTTAACATGTAACTTTTTGTTTAGCTTCTCGAGAATATTGCATTTTAATGTTTGTGAAGGTGAGTCTCACACAGTTACGCTTTCCAAATGTTGTATATTTTACACAAATATTGTATATTTTCACACATTAAATGATATTATTTAAATGTTTTATGTTTAATGGGCATGCGGCTTTGAGTAGTTTTGTGTTTGTATACTAGTTGTGTTTCACACATTAAGTAATTTTAATTAAATGTGTTTCACTAATATTCTTTGTCTATGACAAATATGACACAGTAAGTGTTTATGCATCAAACATAATGAAGAAGAAAAATAACACTTCAACCATCAAATTCTGTAAGTGTTTTAAAACTTCATCAACACTTTTCAGTTACACAGACACTAAAATTCTGTAAGTGTTTTAAAACAGACATTTACTGTCTGTGTACTCTGAAAATTGCACCACCATCTCTACTAAAATCTATTGCTCCGAGGACGCCGATGAAGTGATTTCGGTGTCACATCTTCTAAGAAATCTTCCTTCGACGCCTTCACCGCCATGCTCCAAATCTTGATGGACAATTTCCTCCACTATTGAAGAAGAGATATGTGGCGGCGACCGAGAAAGAGTAGCGGCAATGCTATCAGTAAAGAAGAAATTAGTGGCGGCAACGGCCGACAGAGACCACACGGTGCGCAGCTTGTAGGACGGCGACAAGAAATGGTGGGCGGAAAGATGAATTGCTTTTCTTAAGCACCTATGCAGCTCACAAACATTAGTGTATGTGAGTTTGTAATCACAAACATTACGTGTCTGTAATTGATTAGAAATAGATGTTTATTGTCTATTGGGAGGAAAGGGCAATTACGGGGAAGCCGGTGGCGGCGAAGAAATTGAATGTATGCTTCGTCGCCCTTCTCCGATCCAAATCTTGATTTTGTTCTCCATGTATTTAATATATGAAAATTGCACTTGTTAAATATACCAAATAATACAATAATAATAATATTTCATGATTATTTCTTATTGTTGGGTTATGGAACCCGGGGGCCTAGGTAACTAGGCGGATGAGTATCGAACTAAGTCTGAGTGCACGAAAATATGGGGTCAAGTAAACCGAGAATAGTATTGTGCTGGTAAGAGTCTCACTTAGAACGTAAGTCCCTTTTCCCTTAGAAGAGAAGAGGTTTATATACAAACTACAGCTAGGGTTCCGACCGTTGGTCCGCAATCCAACGGTCTGGGCCCACTAAGATTGGGTTGTTCACTGGCGGCGTCCAACCACATAATTATCCCTAGGATTGCTATACAAAATAGGTAACCAGTAGGGTGGCTATAGCAACTCTGCCAGAGGCATGGCAGGAGTCTAATCGTGGGTCCCTTGATCTTGACCACGCCAGCTCTCTTGTCTGCGTTTGGTCTGTCGCTGCTCATGGCCGAGGCCGAGTTCATGACGTATGTTCAAGAGTTCTCCGGACGGGAGGCCGGCCGGATCGGTCCGAAGGTGACCGAGACTGCTGAGGCCGATCGCGTGGCGTTTGCCGAGGCGGTCCTTGATGGTCCTTCATCTTGGTTTTGCCAAGTGGGCCTTGGCGTAGTTGGGCTGGGCCATTCTCCTGTTGAGCT